CAAAAATTGAAGTTTAACCGGTCAAAGCTACTCGAGCTAATCCTTCAGATAAAGTGATCAAAGAGAACTTTGAAGTTCTCCCGGTCAGAAACAATTAAGAAGTGGTCTGATTGGGCTACCGGTCAGAATTTATAAGAAGCAAGAGCAAAGTATAAAACAACAGGCAAGCAGATATGGAAGATTCACCGGTAAGAAAATTAAACATGGCATTTAAATTTGGAAATGTCAAATGTTTACAAGTACGCCGGGCATACCCGGGGAAATTTGTTCTAAAAGTTTTACAAAGACAACCGGGCGCAGCCGGGGAGATTAGTCCAGGGGGAAGGGGGGAGTAGGCTCTTCTTCCGGGATTGGAGCCAGGCCGTAGGATGCCGCACTGAAGCTCGGGTCCCTTCTGAGCAGTACCCGGTGAGAGGCGATCCGATCCTTCTTTTGACCGCTCTTGAATCCAAAGGATCCAATTGCGGTGATCATTTTCCTTCCTTCAGGCTCCCGGTACAGAAGCCTGAAGGACTCCATCGCGGTCTCCGGCGTCGCCGTCATCACCCGGGCAGCAACGGCCTTGTTCTCTTCAACCCAGGCGACTGCGCGCCCGGGGAAGGTCTCTTCCTTCTCCGCTGCTTCCCTCTTGGCCTCAGAGGCTTCATCCATAAGCCGGCCATTCTCCTCCTTCAGCTGGGAGATCTCGGTCTTCATGGCCCCGGCTAGCCCAGACAGCCTGATTAGCTCGTCAGCCTGGCTCTTCAAGATGAGGGCCATCTCTTCTTTCTCCCTCTTCAACCGGTCGACTTCGGAAGGGGAACTCATCCCCAACCGGTCCGCTGTATGCGGCCCAATCTCCCCCGCCTGCACAAAAACGAAACAGACCGGTAAGTTTCTCGATAAAAAAAAAACAAATAAAGACCGGGATGGCATCAAGACTTACCTCCTTCAGCCTCAGCCCCAGATTGATGAAGGCTTCTTCGATGGTCTGACCGGTCGGCTCAGAATCCGGCCTAGCCCTCTTCTTGGCGTAAGAAGGGTGCGTGGTGGCCACCTTCTTCACCCGACGACCGGCCTTTTCTTTTTCTTTCCCCTTAGACCGGTTGTCTTGGGGCTCATCTTCATCCAGGATTTCCACGGTCTCTGGATTGACCGGGAAAGTCCTAGCAGGATTGGCTTTAGAGCCCCCGGTCTCCCCGGCTGGTTGGTCGTCAGGGATGGCGAACTCCTCAAACTCCATATCTGCAAGAGAAGCTGAAATCGTTAAGTACAAGGAGAGACACCGGTCAACGGCGAATCACAAGAAAAATGAGAAATACCTGGGTGGTTCTGGCCCTCAGCCTCTGCAGTGTTGCCCGGGGAGGGTACCCCGTGCCCCGCTGCTTCATGGGCCTGGGAGGTACCCTCACCACCCGACTCTACCCTACAAACCCAGCTTCCTTGATGGAAGATCCTCCCGGTTTGAGGATCCCCGCACATGAGGATCTCGAGATTAGCTTCCAAGTCTGGGGAGGAGGCCGGTGCAGCATACTCTTGGTCGAGTAGATGGTCATTCTATTTCAGACCGGCCAGAGGAGTGACGAAGGGGGGAAACTCGATAAAAACAAATTTTTCCTTCCATCCCCGGTTACTCTGGGGGACTTCGAAAATAAACTTCCTACCGGTACGGGCTTTGAAGAATACAAAACCTTCACAGCCAGTCCCGCCCGGTAGGACTTCAAAGCAAAAAAGGAAAAGACGCAAAGAGGGAAAGATTTATAGATGAGTACAGATATTTACAAAGGAATGGAGGTACCGGTGGGCGTTGGGAGTTATTTGACCGGGCAAAATCCTAAACGCGTGGCACACTTCGGTTAGGAGGGGGCGAAGGGGAAAAACTATGCCCGCATCTAGGGATATGGTGTGGAACCCTATCTTGTCCTCCCGGTGGGGTTCGACAATGTTGGGCCAGTTGGGCTCATACAGGAGGGTATACCCATCCGGGAGCCTCCTACGAATTTTGTTCAAGGCGATTTTGGATACACGGGAAGGAATGTCAAGGACGTAGAAGGTGGGGAGTGGAAAGTAACCGGCAGCATGAAGCCGCTCCTCCCACGCATCCCGGGTTTCGTGTTCAGGATCATAGGGACCCGGTTCGTCATCAACCGGGGCATCCCTCCCCACGAAAGTTTCACCGGGCATCTGATTTACAGGATGCGGGTCGGGAATGGAGGAGTTGGGAACCTGACCGGGCGTCGAGTCAAGAGAAGAAGACCCGGTCGAAGAAGAGGAGTTGGAGTCCTCAGAGGACTCAGAGGAGCAGTCCTCTGAGGAAGAGATCCTATCGCTAAGAGAAGACATGACCGGGAAAGTAGAGAAGGAAGGGGAAACTTAGTTGGCTCGGAGGGCTGGATAGCGAGAGAGAGGAATTTGACCGGTGAAAGCTCTAGGAGGCGAAGTGCGAAAAGTGAGCAGAGAAGAGGGATGGAGGCCCTTATATAGGAAGAGGAGGGCTGAAAGAAGTGACGTGGCCTCTCCAGGTTGCGCCGCGTCAGGCGGCGCAATGATGACCAACTGGCAGGCGAAACGACAGGTCTGCAGCCGACTGATTGCAACGGTTGATGCGCGACACGTGGCAAAAGTCAGAGTTTAAAATTCAAATTTCAAAAATTTTAGGCGGGAAGGGCCAAAATTTCAAAATTGGAGTCCTATTTCAGACTTTTTACTTCCCGCTCATGACAAATTGCATGACCGAGAAGTGGAGGGCTTATTGATGGGTGTATTCCACCCACGACCGGTCAAAAGAGAAGGCCAAATCGTTGACCGGTCAATCTCGAGAGTTTTGGAAGGGAGACTTAAATCGTCAGCAAAACGACATATCATCGGCCAAAACATGACCGGTATACTTCACAAAAAAGTATACCGGTCAAACTACGTTATCATCCTATTTATTCCAGACTTCGATAAATTCATCCCTCGGAGATTACCCGGGACCCGACTCGCTAACTCGTCGGTTTGGGTTACGCGGGTTGGGGTGTTACATTTTGGTATCGGAGCATGTGGTTTTAAAAACGATTCTCGGAAAAAAAAGGGTAAATTTATTTCCAAAAAAACGTTACTTAAAAAAAAAAGCGAGCATCTACAGCTTCACGACGTCACTGCTCCAGGAGGTAACTCTGAATCCTTATTATGTGCTTATGTGAAAATTGTTAAACTGACTTGTTTGTTAGTTAACATGTGGTTTATTAAAAAAAGAATTTATGTGAAAAAAAAAAAGAAACATAAGAAGATTGAATCGTTACAAAAGTTGTTTCAAAAAAAAAGTTGGTTATTGAAAAAAGAATATATTGTGAATCTAAGAAGTAAATTACAAAGAAAAACAAGAAAAAAAAAGGAAATAAAAAGAAAATATGGTCTCAAGAAGTATCTTCTATAAAAACAAAAACAAGTGCAAATGAGATTTTGAAATTTAATATGTTGAACTATGTTAGCAATTATCCATCATGAATAAAAAAAATGGCTTAGATTTGAAAGTGAGTTTTGTTGTAAAAAAAAGGGTTTGTGAGCCAATTAAAAAAAAGGGTCTTAAAAAAAAATATATGTACATAAAGAGGAAAAAAATGTTTTACATTTTACCATTGTTTCGTTGATCACTGGAATGACAACCAAATCCGGAAGGGGCTGCAGACCTGGATGAATAAGGGTGCGTTATTTTAGTGTCAGACGAAGTTGACAACATAAGTAACATAAAGTGTGTTTTTTTTCGTTATTAAAAAAAAGGTTAACAATAAATCTTGTAAACCAAAGAAAAGTGCATTGCTAACCCTTGAAAAAGAAAAAAAATTGGATGTTTGAATTAACAAAACATACGAAATAGAAAAGTATTTTGATAAAGTGATATTTGTTACTTAAGTAGTTAAATTGTAAAACTGCAGAATGAACCCTATCGTTAATTACGACGACGATCATCACTCTGAGGATGAGAGTGTGCAACAGAACGACCACCAGAATATGAACATGAACCAGAACGCCCCACACCAAGAGGCACCGAATGGTGGGACGGCAGGGGTCCCCCAAATCGACCATGTGATGATGATGCAGCTCCTACAACAAGTTTTGATCATGAATCAAAATGCCTTAGCGCACATTCGACAACTGGAACCGAGGATCACGCTCGAGAGACTGAAGAAAAACGGCGCTGAAGAATTCCTAGGCGAGAACATCGCCGATCCATTGATTGCGTTTAGATGGATAGAGCGTGAACGACGCGTATTCAAGAATTTGAAGGTTCCAGCTAGCGAATGGGCCGATTTCGCGGTCATGCTTCTACAGGGTAATGCGTACGAGTGGTGGAAGCGCACTACTCGAAATGCGAATCATCCCGCGAAAGTGACGTGGGCGTACTTCGAACAAGTGTTCAGAGAGGAGTATATTCCCGAGTCGTTTGTGGAAGAGAAACGAGAGGAGTTTCTACATCTGGAGATGGGTACGATGAGTCTTCCTGAGTATCGCCAGCTATTCGATCATCTCGCTGAGTTTGGCCAGGATTTGGTGAACACCACCAAACGTCGTTGCGATAAGTTCGTGAAGGGCATGCGCCCGAATTGCCATGGTATATTAAACCACATTCATGATGTCTATTTTATTCCAAAATTGGCATATAATCTATTGAGTGTGGGGCAATTGATGAGCACTGGATATATGGTATTCTTCGAAGATAACTCCTGTGTCATCAAAGAAAAGAAATCTGGGCAAATCATTGCAAAGGTTTGCATGACACGGAATAAGATGTTTCCGCTGCGAATTTCAAGTGTAGATAAATACGCTCTTGTTTCCGGCACACAAGAGGCGTCGAAGCTGTCGCATCAATGATATGGACATCTCAACGCCAATGGGTTAAAGCTTCTACGTGAGAAAGGTATGGTTCTAGGGCTGCCTAAAATTGATACTTTTGATTTATGTGAGGGATGTATTTATGGGAAACAAACGAGGAAATCGTTTCCTACCGGTGTCGCTTGGAGAGCTTCTAAATGTCTTGAGCTCATTCATGCTGATTTGTGCGGGCCTGTGAATACGGAGTCCATGGGTGGAAGTCGATATTTCTTCCTACTTACGGATGACTATAGTCGCATGAGTTGGGTTTATTTTCTGGAAAATAAATCCGAAGCCTTTGAGAACTTCAAAAATTTCAAGGCGATGGTGGAAAAGCAAAGTGAGAATAGCATCAAGGTTCTACGTACAGACAGAGGTGGTGAGTTTTGCTCTAATGATTTTAATCATTTTTGCAAAGCTAACGGAATACACAGGGAATTGACAGCACCATATACGCCGGAGCAGAATGGTGTGGCTGAGAGGAAAAATCGCACCGTTGTAGAGATGGCGAGAAGCATGTTGAAGGCGAAGCAGCTTCCAAACTCGTTGTGGGCAGAAGCAGTTGCAACAGCTGTATATTTACTGAATATATCTCCTACAAAAGCTGTCTTAAATCGCACTCCATATGAAGCTTGGGGAGGTACGAAACCAACGGTGAGCCATTTAAAGGTTTTTGGATGCGTAGCTTATGGTTTGGTGAGCTCTCAAAATCGTCGAAAGCTCGACGAGAAATCTGTGAAGTGTATCTTCATTGGATACTCTTGTCAATCCAAAGCATACAAGCTATATAACCCTCTTAGTGGCAAAGTTATCATCAGCAGAGACGTCATTTTCCATAAAGATGCTTGTTGGGATTGGGAGACCAAGCAAGATGATTCATATACTCTCTTTCCGCTGGACTCAAGTGATGCAGATTCTTGTGAGAATTCACCACAGAACAGCCCCACCAACTCACCAAATACTACTCCAAACTCTACTCCTCCAACTACGCCTCACACCTCACCAAACACAAGTACACCTGCTTCGTCAAGCAGCTCATCATCTCTCGAAACAGCACCTCCACGAGGCCATAGGTCTCTAACTGAAATATATGAGAGATGTACTTTTGCCTTTATGGTTGCAGATCCTAGTCGATTCCATGAAGCTTCCAGAGAAGAAAAGTGGCAAAAGGCAATGAAGGAAGAGATTGGAGCAATCGAAAAAAATGGCACTTGGACGCTCGTAGATTTGCCGGAAGATAAAGGTGCAATTGGCTTGAAGTGGGTGTTCAAGACAAAGTATAATGCAAATGGGAGTGTACAGAAACACAAGGCTCGTTTGGTGGTCAAAGGGTATGCTCAACAACAAGGCATCGACTACGAGGAAACGTTCTCTCCCGTTGCTCGGTTTGAAACGGTGAGAATGTTTTTGGCCTTGGGTGCTCATCTTAAGTGGCCTCTCTATCAACTTGATGTTAAGTCTGCGTTTCTAAACGGAGACTTGGAGGAGGAAGTCTATGTCATGCAGCCGGAAGGATTTGTCGTTGAAGGAATGGAGGATAAGGTTTATAGGTTGAAGAAAGCCTTATACGGATTGAAGCAAGCTCCGCGAGCATGGTACAGCAAGCTCGACTCATTTTTCCAACAAAATGGATTTGACAGAAGTGCTAATGAGCCTACGTTGTATGCAAAGAAGGGAGGTAAAGGTAGTTTGCTTCTTGTTTGTGTATATGTTGATGATATCATCTATATGGGATCATCTGACTCTCTTGTTCATGAGTTCAAAGAGAGTATGATGAATATGTTTGAGATGACAGATTTGGGGCTGCTTAGTTATTTTCTTGGGTTGGAAATTAAGCAAGGAGAAGATGGAGTGTTCGTCTCCCAAAAAAAATATGCCGAGGATCTTCTCAAACGCTTTAATATGAAAAATTGCAAAGCTGCAATTACTCCCATGAATATGAATGAAAAATTGCAGCAGGAAGATGGTACAGAGAAAGCTGATGCAGTAAGCTTTCGTAGTCTAGTTGGAGGCTTGATTTATTTAATGCATACGAGACCCGATATTGCCTTCGCCGTTGGTATGGTTTCCCGATTTATGCACAATCCAACACGTCAACATTATGGAGCTGCAAAAAGGATTCTACGCTATATAGCTGGAACTCAAGATTTCGGTATTTGGTACTCAAATGTTGATAAATTTGAGTTGGTTGGGTTCACGGGCAGTGATTGGGCAGGTTCCGTGGATGATAGGTGAAGTACTTCAGGCTTCGTTTTTAATCTTGGGTCAGGAGCTGTGACGTGGAGCTCCAAGAAGCAAGGTGTAACAGCACTTTCGACGGCAGAGGCAGAGTATGTGGCTGCTACTTCTCTGGCTTGCCAGGGAGTATGGCTGAGAAGGCTTCTAGCTGACTTGGAGCAAGAGCAGACGAAGGCTACTGAGATTTTTTGTGATAATCGATCAGCTATTGCGATTGCAAAGAATCCAGTTATGCATGGGAGAACGAAACACATCGAAATTAAGTTTCACTTCATAAGAGATTTGATTAAAAAAGGGCTCATCTCTTTGAAATTTTGCAGCAGTTTAGAGAACTTGGCTGATATTTTCACCAAATCATTGTCCTCACAGAAGCACGTCAAGTTCAGAAATATGCTCGGAGTATGCAACTATGAATCAAGGGGGAGTGTTGATTAAAGTTTGTTGATTCATAATTGACAGCTCATCATAGACTAAGTCCTTGTGGGTTATTTTCATTATTCCTATTCTTTTGGTATTTCTGTTAGTGGAATAAGTCATGCTTAGTGGAGAGGACTTTTAGGATCTCTGATTTGTTGAAGTTTATCTCCGTTTGTTTTTTCATGTTTAGATCGGTATAAATAGCTCTACATATCAGTGAATAAAAATTAATTCTTCCTTCTCAATTCTATCTCTACTTTGAAGTCTTTGTTTTTTTGTTCTCTGCTTTCCAGTTCCAACAGGAAAAACCAAGGGGTTGTGGTGGGCGGTGGAATCAGAATTCCGAAATGTGAACTTCTTAAGTTCATATACACTAATTAGAGCACTGTAAATAAGTTTGAAGCCCCGGGACTTTAAATCGGAGCTTCAAAATTTCTCTTTTTGCCACGTCAGCTTTAACTTACCTCACATATTCAATGGAAATGGGTTTGAATCCCCGGAGCTTCAAACTGGGGCTTCAAAACTTCATTTTTTACATTTTTAAATATACATCTTCTAAATTTAAATTAATAAATTTAAATTAATTTATTATTTAAATTAATCGCAATGAGACTAGTGCATTACAAAAATTACATTCATTAAAAAAATATTACATTCATAAAAAATTACATTCATTAAAACAATTGCATTCATAAAAAAATATTCATAAAAAAATTACATTCATTAAAAAAATACTACATAAAAAAACAACACTACAAAGAAATTACTAATTATTCGAGCCGACATCTTCAAGTATTCGTCGAACATATCAGATGTCGTCCCGTACGCTAAATGACGGAACGCGGCAGTGCACTTCTGGACACTACTAAACCCGCGTCGGCCTCTCGCATCAAAGCGTTGGGTGAACCAAAGAACCTCGCGTTCAACATCGGCGAGTATGCGTAAAAAGAGAGGACGACTCATCCGAAAACGATTACTAAAATCCTTCGGTGTATAAACACACGGATTATTAAAGTAGTCGTTTAGAAGTGGGGTGGTGTTTAACGCCGGGGGGCGGTGTTTAACGCCCCCGGGGCGTGAAAACGACCCCCACGCCGAGTGGCGTTATGGGTATACCAAGTGGTATTATCTTTTCTTTTCTTTCTTTTTTGTAAAATATCTAACAATTTTTTGTTTATGAAAAAAATTATAAAATGAGTATGGAAAAGGAGCACATAAGATTTTGTCTCAACTCTTTTTAACATAAAAAAAGAATAAAAATTTGGAATAGTTAGTTTGACATTCAAGTTCACTTAAATTGGAGCTACTCAAACAATGAAACGAATAACCTTATTGGCTAGTATGGTGATTACCCTACAAAGTAAAGGTGCGAAGTTGTTCAACCAGCGGAAGAGGTGCGTAGTCGCTCCACCGTAAAGAAGAGGCAAAAAGTTCCCAGGTTTGCGGTGATTATATTGTGGAAAGAACACCCAGAACTCATTGTGGAGGGTAGGGAGTTTTATGACCAGAAATAAAGTTACTAACTACTCCAGTCCACGGTGTTACGTGTGTAAATTTGATAATTTCTATCCTTTTAAAACTACGATACTTCGATTTTATAAATATTGCTGCCAGTTGGTGATTTCGAGCTGGAGTGGGACTAAGACGTCCAATTTGGGTGAGTCATGAGTGTCGTAATATGACAATCCTTCCTAGTGTCAAAACAAGTGCATCACGAAGTGATAAGGGAGAAGTCTCTAGTAGTCGAGTTTGAAGTCTGATGGCTTGATGATGACCAATCATGCAAAACATGATGCTTTTGCAAGTAATAGAAACATAATCATACCCATATGCTAACTGACTGAGATCATTTCTTAATTTATTTTCTCTCAACTAACTATCTGATCGGTGTTGAAGAAGTGTCGAAGATGGAATTTATCCTTTTTTATGGTAGTTTGTGCTATGAAGGATGAGAACACATCAATTCTTTTCTTCACTTGCTTTTTTTCCAAAAAAAAAGGTGGAACGCCTATTTCGATTCGATAAGATTGCGAGGGAAATAAATTATAGTATAATCTCAATCTGTTTCTTAAAGATGCCGCCCGTATAAGTTGGCAATGACCTGTGTCGGTGAGTAGTTGAAGGAAATATTAGACTTCATGGTGACCTCCCAAATACGAGAAATATTAAAATAAAAAGTTTGATTTTTTTTCATATTTAGCTAAAAATTTAAAATAAATTACAAAACATGTGATATTATGTCTATCTCCGAATGTTTATATAATTTTGACTTTTACAATTAATTATTTTTTATTTTTGTTTTCGAGTGTTGGGCGGAGTATTGAGCGGTTAAGAAGAGTCATGTGCGTCGTGTGCATGCGGCGGAGATGCGGATTTTACGATGGATGATTGGGAAGACAAGGTGGGATAAGATTTCGAACGAAGTTATCTGACGTTAGGTAGGCATGGTGCCGGTGGAAGATAAGTTGCGAGAAGCGAGGTTGAGATGGTTTGGTCATGTGAGACGGCGGGATGTTGTCGCCCCTGTACGGAGATGCGGGATGATTACGGTTATCGGGGGAAGTAGGGGAAGGGGTAGACCTAGGAAGAATTGGAAGGAGGTGATTAGGTAGAATTTAGGACTTCTCACCCTAATTGAGAATATGGCTTTAGATAGGAACATTTGGAGAACTAGGATTAGAGTATCTCGATAGGAGTTCGGTGATGCAGAGGTTTTTTGTAGTGTGTTGTGTTTGATTAGAATCTTTTGCTATTGCTTGCAGGACTTTCATTTCATTGTACTTGGTGCTTTATTCATGTTATACTGTGTTCCTACCATATTTTTTGTGCAGATATTTTTTGTGCAAGTTGAGCCGGGGGTCTCTTGGAAACAGCCTCCCTATTTCCGAGTAGGGGCAAGGTCTGGGTACACACACCCTCACCAGACCCTGCTGTAGTGAAACTCAACTGGGCTGTTTTTGTTGAGTAAGATAAAAATTATACTCCTATGTTATATTACTTACCTAAAATAATATTTTGAAATTATTATATAAAATAAATATATTGAAATTATTTTGTACTCCCTCCGTCCCAAATTATTTGTCACATTTGTTTTTTTCAACAGTCGCGGGAACTTTTATTTATTTCTACGTTTTCATTGGTTATTTGATAAAATAAAATATTCCTGACACCTCTTATTTCGAAGAACTTTTCATGTAGTTTTTTTATATGTAATTTTTATTTTTTATTTCTTTACCAATATGTAAATAAAATGAATTGAAAAAATTTGATATTTTACCTCAGTAATAGAAATGTGACAAATAATTTAAGAGGGTTGGAGTATTATCTACCAATTTTATTTAATTGACAGTAAGTCAAACGGGAATCAATCAGCGAACAAAGAATCAGAGGAGGCGGGACTCCACCACTCATCTCCTTCTCCTCCATGGCCGCCGTATTTCCGATCGCTCTCACCTCCGTCGACCACCGTAATGCATCCGCCATCCTAAGCAGCTCTTCCATCACCCAATCGCACAAATTGCGCCGCAAGCCCACACTCAGAGTCAGAGCCTGCTCCGCCGCCACACCTTCCCCTGTCCTAACGCAAGACGCCCTCAAGAAGATCGCCGCAGAAAAGGCCGTGGGTTACGTCAAGAGCGGAATGGTTCTCGGCCTCGGCACCGGTTCCACCGCCGCCTTTGCGGTGGCCAAGCTCGGCGAGCTCCTCTCCTCCGGCCAGCTAACCGACATCGTCTGCGTGCCGACGTCGCAGCGGACACAGGATCAGGCCACCGCGCTCAACATCCCCCTGTCCACGCTCGACGACCACCCGAGACTCGACCTCGCGATCGACGGCGCAGACGAGGTCGATCCAGATCTAAACCTAGTCAAGGGCCGCGGCGGCGCTCTCCTCCGCGAGAAAATGGTGGAGGCCGCGTCCGACAAATTCGTGGTGATCGTCGACGATTCCAAGCTCGTCTCCGGCCTCGGCGGATCCGGACTCGCCATGCCGGTGGAGGTGGTCCGATTCTGCTGGAAGTACAATCTTCTCCGGCTCAGGGAGATGTTCCGAGATCTGGACTGCGAGGCAAAGCTGAGATTGCAGGGGGATAATAAACCCTACCTGACGGATAATTCCAATTACATTGTGGATCTGTATTTCCAGATCCCAATTAAGGATTCGGACACCGCCGGGAAGGAGATTTCGGCGCTTGAGGGAGTTGTGGAGCATGGACTGTTCTTGGACATGGCCACTGCTGTCATTATTGCTGGGAAGGAAGGTGTCACTGTGAAGAGCAAGTGAAGATGGAGGGGTGGCATTTGCCCTGCACATTCTGGTAATTTTTTTTCACAATATTCATTTTTGTTTATGAATTCGGGAATTTATATATAGTGCAATGTTACTTAAACCCCAACGATGACACCGCGGTTTGCCACCACTGAGAATCTTACGCAACCCGTCATTGTCTTGTCTGTGAGAGTATTGTCGTTTCATTCGTGTTGTGATAGTAGCACGGGGTCACACTCGATCGGACACCAAGGGTCTAACAGGTATACCGGAACATATAGACAGTCATTGTTTGTGGGATACAAACAATCATTGTCTGTGACCGTTGATGTCAAATTCTTTGTGTCAAATCAGGTGGTTTCTAGGACTTTTGTAACTCATTTATATATGCACTAGAAATCTAGAATGCTAGAAATCCACATTATTTAACACCAAGAGTTGGGCACCACATTTTTCATACATATGCACAACAAGTGTTTGTGCATCACAGGCAATGACTGTGTATATGTCTGCAGAATATTTGGTGTCAAAGGTGGTGTGACCTTATACTACTTTTTGGTACAATGGTGATTGGTGAGATTGAACTGGTTGGGGTTTCAGTAAATAACTTGTAGCAATAGTCTGTCTGTCTGTGTGAATAAACACCCAACTTTTCTTGAAATAAAATGGGTGTTTTTTGTTTTGGTTTTTGGAGCTTGAATAATGATTTTGTAGCTTATGGTGTTTAACTTGTATTGGTTGATTTCTGGATATGTAAATTTATTCCTTATTTGACATTGTTATGCAGCACTTATGCATGATAATAAGTTTAGAAGACTTCAATGCGTTTAGGGAGTATTATCATGTGTACAATAATTTATGAATAGTTTGCAACATTTGAATCAAAATAGAACATCTCTTCGTCTGAACTCATTATGAAAGAGTTGTTTTGATGTGAATTTATCAAGTTTGTTTCTTAGTCTGGTCTGATCTCAATTGAACGGATTTGATTCCAGTTAAACTTACGGTCCATTTGTTGAGCTTTGGAGAATGAATATGAATTTAGGGGCGTACATAATCCAGAAAGGACCGGTAAGCTGGACTCAAATAGCCATTCCCGGTAGAACTGGTTTCTAACCGGTTTGGGTTCATGCTCACAAGTTTAGGAGTCGTAAAATTTTGGTCCATTCCAATCCTTACCCAGAATTATACTGGGTTGGATCGGTAAAACTAGAAACATACTCCCTCCGTTCCCCAGTTTTTGTCCACTTTTGACTTTTGGAACTGTTCATCTAAGCACTTTGACTCATCAAATTCTTTCAATGTATAAGTCTAAATATAGTCATGTGTGATTTTGTTTGATTTGTCTTAACATATAGATTATTAATATATGATTTCTATAATTTTTTAATATACAAATTACAAGATAAAATGGATTAAAGAAGTGCATTGGATGATGTGCAAAAATGAAAGTAGACAAAAAATTGTCCAACTTTGATTGAGTACATTTTATCATACTTTCTTAGATAATAAGCACATTGGCCACTTGGCCAAATTTGAAATCTTTAATCTCACCAAATACAAGTGATGTTTATCCCAAGATTTAATCTATTTCTCACATTTTTCATAGACTTGCATGCAGAAAATTTACTTTTTTATGCTATAAATGCATTAAGGTGTATAAAATGAGTATGAACCTTAAATCAATAAGAAAATTTGCCACCAAATACAGAATATCGTTTTTTAAGCGTGATATCTCAAATATGAAGATACATATCCGTATCTTTATTTCTCACTTCAAAACTATTCCGTGATTCTTTATGATTGTTTTTTGTTATTTGAATAAGAATAAATTGAAGACATATATTCCATATCTCCAGGTTTCAAATTTGAAATCTTTTTTACTCCCTCCGTCCGGTATTAATCTACCCATTTTGACTTTTTTCCATTTTTTGGAGAGTCGACAATGGGATGAAAATGTCCAAAGTGCCCTTTTCTTTATCCAATATTACCACTGCCCTCACCAGTCTTCTGCCATTTGCTTCCACAATCTCCGTCCAATCTCGCCACTGCCGCCAGCCCCTCTTTACAGCCACCGCCTNCACTGCCTTAGTCCCCACCACAATTGTGGTCCACCCCAATTAGATCTACAAAAACTGAGTACAACTCACCATCACCGCAACTCATACCATTGCATCAGTAACCGCCATCGCTAGTCCTACCCAACCGCTTCCGTCATTGCCACATCAAGAACAGATCTGTCCAAACCTGGCAAATCTGGAAGACAAATAAATAGCAGACAGGAGAAGGGGCTGGAGGAGGACGAGCGGATCTGGAGAAAGAATATGAAGGAAGGAAGGAGACAGAGGAGGAGGAGCAGATCTTGAGAGAAAAAAAGAGGCGTGAAAAAATATGGGGGGAGAGAGAAGAAGGGAAAGTGAGAAATAGAAGAGCAGAGACAAGGCCAAGAAATGAGGGAGGAGAGAGAGCGTGATAAATGAGTGGGGGTATTTTGGGTAGTTTGTGTATGAAAAATTGAAATGGGAAGATTATTTCCGGACGGAGAAAAAGGAGAAACGGGAAGATTATTTCCGGACGGAGGGAGTATCTCAACAAATATTTGTTTGAACTTGATATCTCAAATATGAAGACATTTTATATCCTTCCGAAGAGACTCTTCTTACAATCTAATCTAAATCTATCTGATTGATTTTATCTGGTTCCAATTAGCATAAATAATACTCCATAAGAATAAACTAAAGAGAACATGGCTACAAGTTTTAAATACTCCGAGGTATATAGTTCCCTCCATTAATGTTCAAATTTTTACATGATTTTCATGAGATTTAAGAAAATATAAGTGCCAGACTAAATTTTATGCAAAATGTAGAGAGAAAAAAAACTATGAACCACAGGATAGTGTCTAGAATAAATGTAAACATGGGAAAGTTCCTGATGAACCAACGTTACTAGGCAGTTAACCTCGTGTCATGAATGCCCGATTATGAAAATCGACTCAAGCTAGTCGTATTACATGGACATAGAGAAATAGTTCACCTTTAAACCATCTTGTGCTAATACACAAACAATGGCGATCGTCCTAATAGCAATGAGAGCGTATGTTCCATCCCCAGAGTGGATCCGGTTCTTGGGAGAAGAAAGACAAAGTACGCCATGGCATTGCTCTATCATAGTTTAATGCTAGATTTGACCTTACCCTCTTTTTTCTCCCCCACTTGTAACCTGGCTGAATGGGGCTTTGATGATGGACAGTCCAAAGCAAACCAGACCAAACAGTCCGATCCTACCTTACCTTACCTACAAGCAACATCATTTTGATCTTCTCATTCTCACAGATTGATCACATTACAAATGAGAGACAACTGGCTAGACTTCCTTTGGCAGCTCATAGGTAAAAAAAAGAGTTTTGTTACGCTATCTACTACTCGACTGCCGTGAGGGGAAGCAATCACAAATGGTTATATACATCCAAAATAATTATCTACGTATGGATAAAATCAAATTTGTGGAAACACCGGTGGTGGATTTCTAGCATTATTCTAAAAATATGATTGCATACAATTCATTCAAACAAGGCACCTTGAAGACAATACCAAACATGGCAATTGCATATTACAACCAGAATGTAGAAGCAAAGATGTCAAGTAAAACTTCAACACTACCAAATTACTACTACCCTTGTGATCAACAAACAGAAGCACCCTCAAAAAAACATGAATGCACTGTTTTAAGTCTCAATTCTCTAGATATTGTGCAAAAGAACCAGCCATCATCAACACTTTATCGACATTTAGAGGGGAATGGAGACCGAAATGTATTCTCAAGGCATTAGGCTCAAACAGCCAAAACATGAAAGTCAGGTGGAAATATTATTCAGCAATGACCACACTACACTTTTAAAGAACATATCCAATAGTTCGAAACCCTTTCATTACCAAAATGGCTACAACTGAAAATAGATTGGGATACTAATCAATCAAGAAGAGATTTCACCAGCAGATAAGAACCAATATCTCCTTAAGAGGTAATCGAAACGAGGAAGTAACCCTTAATCATGCAGAATACCCAAAATGTCCTCATCCCTGAACAAATGAAACCTGCAAAAATGAAAAGAAAAGATCATGATAAAAGAATTCAACAATACTTAATCATTACAACACAACACAGTGTGCAAAATGTGATATTTTTCTAACCATTTTACGTGTTTGGTTATAAAATACTACCTCCTCCAAGGGTGTTCAAACTTTTTTTCACAAGTCCCACACATTTTGGGTTTTAAGAATAAAAACTTGCCTAAATAAAATCAAACTGCACAGCTCATATTATTTCACAAACCCATATTCTCAAAGAGTAAACTTTATTTTTGGGACAGAATGAGTAGTTTAATTTAACACTTGTTGTAACCTGCTGTCTATATCACAGCTTTCTCCACACCAAAAAATTGAAGTTTAACATTGGTTTTTGCTGAGAGACATTTTTGTAATTAACCATTCAACACTAATTGCCTTTTTCACAAGTTCAAAACTTAAGCGTGCATAATTTGCACATGCTCACATTTGATTGACAAAAGGAAACTTTAGCTTTAACATACCTGACTTTGAAAATAATCCAAAATTTAACATTCACTTAAACAATGAATTATTTATGTGAGAAAACAAAAGAAACTAAATTGACAGAAGCATCACTTACTCTTTGTCATCCAATTTCACTTGTGTGCCGCCATACTCGGGCAAGAGAACAGTTTCCCCTTCCTTGAGAGCAACTGGTACATGGTTTCCAGTCTCGTCACGGATCCCGGGTCCCACCGCAACAATTTTTCCGGCGTTCAACTGCAATTAAGCCATTAATTAAAACACACCTTCCTCAACCAAATTGATCAAATCGCGAAAGTTGACGAGGAATAACAACTGAAAAAAGATAATCCTCTAGACAAATTGATCAAATCTCGAAAAATGGCCGAAGAATCGACCGTAGACATGATTGAAGAAAAGTTGAAGACAGACCTTGGCCGACTTCTCCGGCAAAAGAATGCCGCCGGTGGTCTTGGCGGGAGCGGTGATTTTCTCGACCAGAACCCTGTTGAAAGTCGGGACGAGGCGCTTCCACGACATGTCTGCGAATAACGGCGTCGATCGGCGGTTGCACGGTGGCAGAGAAATTAGCTACGGGAGCTGAGAGGGGGATTGAGCAGATGTAATAGGAGAGGGTAGAAGCTTCTAGGGTTTAGGGTTTCTAATGTCGGCGTACTGTATTTCCTCAAGTGGGGTTTTACTCTTAGGTCTCGTATTGTTCAACTGGGCTCTCTCGTTGCTTGAAGATTCAGAAGAGTTTTAGATTGGGCCCAACGGGTGCACAATGATCCCATCAATGGTGTATAAGTATAAACTTTATTCTGAAATAAATTTTGAATTTTTGGGTTGGAGAAATTAATTTTGATTTTTTTTATTTTTTTCAATTCCTTTCAATTCTTTCAGTTCTTTCTAACTATTTTCAGTTTCTTCAGCAATGACTAAAAAAAAAATTTAGAAATGGTGAATATAAAATAACATTATATATCCAATTTTATAATATATTATCTCAAACACAGACAATAATGAATTTTTTAATCCAAAATTTGAGTTTTTTTGCATGTTTCTTTGGTTGATCACTTAATTGTGTTTCTTTTTAATACTTAAATCCTTTAATATTTTCTAACTCCTTTCAGTTTTTCTAACATCTAACTCTGAAATTTCAACTTAAAAGAACAAAGCCTTAATGTTTATATTTTAATACACTGTACTACGAGAACTTATACCATACATAACCCTTGTGCGGTGTTTCTCATTTATCCGCATTAATATGAATATTTATTTTTGAACATAACTGAATTTTAGAAAAATCATTATCTAATTACTCAAAAACGAGTCTTCAGTTGCTTCCAACAGAGTTTTTGCTGCGGATGGACAGAAAACATCGCAGAACTAATTGAACGATATATATTGCATTGTACAACGTATTTTTTAAGTGGTGTAAATTGATTTTGAGATTGTAAATGAAATAATTTGTCTTTGATTATTATTTTTGAAATATAAAAGTTTATTCAAACAAAGCTATAAACATGGTAAAACTTATAGGATACCGAGATAAAGGGAAAAAAGAACAGTGCAATTTTCCGCCTAAACGACTCAGGTACGGGTTGAGTATCCAATTTCAATATTTGGTTGGGCAAGTGGGAATCTTGATTAGATTGGGTCAATGGGTGTTGAATAAATGTATTAGATTTGTTACTTTCTTGGTTCGCGTGAAAATATTGATGTTGTCTATTGAAATATGAGTTTTGACGGCTCCATGCCTCTTGGAATATGTATTTTGACATCTCTCTTTCACTGTAAAGAAAAATATTTTTTTGGTTCACGTGAAAACAGTAATGTTGCCGCTTGGGATATGAATTTTGATGGCTCCATGCCTTTGGGGATATGTATTTTAAAACCTTTCTTTCACTTTTAAAAAAGTACTTTTTGAATTCGCGTTAAAACATTATTGTTGTCTGTTGGGATGTGAATTTCGATAGGTCCATGCCTTTTGGGATATGTATTTAAACAAGAGTGTTTATTACCTATCTCCATATGAAATCATAATTACCTTCTCCTAAGGAATCATTTTTTAAAACAAGAGCATTCAATTTTTCTAAAAGAGTTCAATACATTATTATTTTTAGATAGATGGTTAAAACGTGACTTCTGCATTGAGTCACAAACTTTTATTTTATGAGAAAAAAAGAATCTAGCTATTGCCATGCCTTGAGCCACATGCCTAAAACATATTAGAGCACTTGAAATACTCGTGAAGCCCCGGAGTTTCAAACGCTCTCTCTCTCTACCACATCAGCTTTAACTTACACCAAAAATTCACTGGAAATGGGTTTGAAGTCCCGGGGCTTCAAACAGGGCTTCAAACCTTCATTTTTTACATTTTTAAATATACATCTTCTAAATTTAAATTATTAAATTTTAATTAATTTATTATTTAAATTAATCAAAAGGAGATTAGTATATTAAAAATATTACATTCATTAAAAAATATTACATTCATAGAAGAATACATTCATAAAAAAGTTTCATTCATTAAAAAAATATCACATCCATAAAAAATAACACTACAAAGAAATTACTAATTATTCGAGCAACTAAAAATATCTTCATTCAAATTCGAGTTGTAGTAAAATATTGCAAACTGAAATAATTCATCAAATAAAAAATACATTCAATAAAAAAAGTATGTTAAATTTAATAAAAAACAAAACAAAATTACATTACTAAAAAAAATTAAACAAAAAAATATTACATTAAACAACAAAATATAGAGTAAAAAAAATATGTTTGTGTATATTTTTTTTAAAGAGAGAGTGGGGAGGGGGGGAAGAGCTTTGAAGCCCGTTAAACATTTGAAGTAGAAGAAATGAAGCCCGGATGAAGCCCCAGATGGGCGGTGTTTAACGCCCTTGGGCTTCAAAAGTAACATAACGTCGGGTGGCGTTACATGTATTACCAGTGGCCTTAATGGTCTAAATAATTATGAAGTGGCCTTGCAAGGAAATAAACATTGAACCATAAAACAATTAATGGACATCCATCAACCCGTTATTGGAATAAACATGACCTGATTAAAAGATTGGGTATGATCGTTTTTTAAACAAATTAGTTTATTTAAAAGGAGGGTACTTTCAAATAAGATTATGTACAAGTCACATTCGTTTGGCAAAAAACATAATTGGATTTTTTAAAGAGTGAACTAAATTTATTCCAACGATGGTAACATTCAATGCTTAATCCACTGAACCGTGTGAGATTGTGTAACCCAAAAGACCCATGCGTTGATGTTTGTGTAGGGTAATAATATACATTGAGCAACAAACTATCGTTTTACGAAAAAAACCAATTGATTTATTACTTTGAGCCACACGCTCAAACCCATTAAATGGCGGAAACAATTTTAAAATTGTTGGACATACCAATAAACATTGGAATACGAAGCATTAAATGGACAACTAAGACTCAATACCTGAAACATTGAACGTTAATACTCCCCCGTCCTAAAACTATCTTCCAGTTACTATTCATACGGTCAAACTTAAATCACTTTCTTTACCTATTTTCGCTACTTATTTGATAAAATAATATAATCTTGTCACATCTCGTTTGCTGGAAATTTTAATGTAGTTTTAAATATGTAAATTTTATTTTATTAATTTTACACTTAGCCACTTACAATCAAATAAATTAAATTAAAAATAAAGTCGGTCAAACCTCGTAAACACAAGCAGGAAGATGGTTACGTTCTAAGACGGAGGGAGTATTATTTTTTACATTGAGCAATGTGAGATTATGTAATCTAAAAGACCCATGCGTTGATATTTGTGTAGAATAATGATATCGTTGATATCTATTGACCACAAAGTATTGTTTTACGAAAAAAGTAGAAGTCATTGATTATTTACTTTGAGCCACACACCCAAACTCTTTAATGGTGGAAACAATTTTGAAATTGTTGAACATACCAAGGAACATTGAAATACGAAGCTTAAAATAAAACCGCCATCAAAAGAAAATATACATTCGAATGACATTCAATGAGGGCAGTGGTAAATTGAAGATATCAATATCAATACTATATTTAAAAGCAGGGGAACTCCATCCTAGACTTTTTCCGCCTATGCTAGCATGTTAAAGGAACCGTTGATTTAATAGATGTGATAGGTATGATAACAAAAATTATGAATAAAAGTTGTTTTGTAATAGAAAGTAGAAGTGTTTAGGAGAAAACAAAAAATGAAAAAGGTAGTGTTTTAATAAACGAGTTAGAGATCTAGTAATTATTCAAACTATGAAATACTATTTCCTAGTTCCCTCATGAAATATAAGAAAATAAGACCTATTTATTTTTTCTGTCTAACAAGCAACATATAAGTCAGCTTATAAGCATACAGAAATATGTCATTAGTTGAATTATAAGTTATCAACTACTTATAAGCATATACTCCCTCCGTCCCAAAAGATTTACAACGTTTGCTTTTTCAGCAGTCGCGACAACTTTTGTTTATTTCTGTGTTTTCATTGGTTATTTGCTAAAATAAAATATTTTTGACACCTCTTATTTCGAAGAACTTTTCATGTAGTTTTTTGATATGTAAATTTTATTTTTTATTTCAATAGCAATATGTAAATAAAATGAATTGAAAAAACTTGATATTTTGGCGCGAGAATACAAGTGTGACAAATATTTAGGGACGGGGAAGTAGAATTTTTGATATACTTTTAAAAAACATACTCTTCCCGTCCCTTAAAACCATTCTTTTATTGACTTTTTGGGAAATTAAGGGAGAGATATTTTGGTGTTATTTTTCAAAAATACTCTTGATGTGATGGGTAAAAGTAAGATGTGATGGATAGATTATTAGTAAAAATGTATGATGTGATAAGTAAGATATGAAAAAGTAAGGGGTAAAAGTGGTTTTTAATAGATAAAGAAAGAAGTTTTAGTGGCACAAGAAAAAAAGAAAAGGGAAAAGAGTTTAATGGACTGGTATATTTTAGGCGTTGGAAGAGTAATTTACCTAAATATGACTAAAACATAATGATTTTTTCAATATAGGACCATATGTTTTTATTTTTTCCAATATAAGACTATTGATCATTATTTATTATTCATTATTCAACTAAATATGATTATGCAAATTTCATAGTTGGAATGCTATAGATATTTTGGGAATGAGGGAAACGGGAGTAATTTTGTTCCCAGAAAAGTTTTTTGGGTTGAAATCTACCGACGTCTTCCGGCGATATGTAGAAAGCCGCCGGTGCTTGGCGGCTACAGCGAATGCGATTAGAGCTCGTCCACAGCAATGGAAGTCATTCGCCTTGGTTGCGGACTGCCACAGCCTAATCCTCTCAGAAATACTCCTCCGCCACAGGGACAGAGATGGAGCCTCTCTGGCTCCGCCACTTCCCGATCGCTTTCAAGGCTCTCTCCCCAATCCGGCGCTTCATTAGTTGAGTTCCTTTTTGTTCTGTTTTGTGTTTCAATATATATCATCTGTAGTGGGCGTTATTAGTGTTCCTTTGAATGGTGAGTTTCATTATTAAGACTTAGATTTCAATACTAATTGGTCGTCTCTGAGCCTTATAATCTCCTTGTCATAATGTTTTCTTCCACAGACAAGTGTTTTCAGGAAAGGTTCCTCAACTTCTGCCATTTTTCTTCCTTTTCTCCAACAAGAGGAAGAAGAAGATGATGACGAGGATGAAGATGGAGTGGCTGTGGTGGAAGAAGAAGAGGAAGAAGAAAACAAAGAAGAATTGTCGAGTTTAAAATTGAATGACCCAATAATGAATTTCTTCAAGACTAGGGTAGAGGATCCGAACACCGGTTCTGACCCGGATCGTCTAGGCAAATTCTCCCTCGGCAAGAAGCGCAAAACATCATGGCACCTATCCCAATCAACTGGTTCAAGTCTAAAAAGTGATGAAGTAGAAGAAGAAAATGACGATGCTCCCAAAAATGTGGAACTCCTAACAATTACAAGAGTTGAGGGCGTTGTCGGTGAAATACTGGAAAGAGCCAAGACATTACCAGAAAATGTGACATTAGGAGAGGTACTAGGGGAGTTTGAGGGGAGAATCCGGGAGAGAGAATGTGTGGAGGTGTTGGGGTTGCTGGAGAAGGAGGGACTGATCAAGTGCTGCCTGTACTTTTTTGAGTGGATGAGGACGAATGAGCCTTCACTCCTCTCGCCTCGAGCATGTACCGTTCTCTTTCCAATACTTGGAAGGGCCGGGATGGGAAGAGAATTAATGCTTAAATTCAGAAGCTTGCCTAGTCACAAGCACTTCAGGAATGTTCGTGTTTATAATTCTGCAATGTCTGGGCTTTTGACCTCTCAGAGGTGTGATACTTCTACAGGGATTCAGATTTGCACTCTAGCTAGTAGATAAAATAGTTTTAATCTTTACAACTTTAGTTTGGTTAGTAAGTTTTCTTTAAGTACTTAGTTAAAATCTTGATGGTTTATAGAGTATTTGGTTAGTTAGTGTTCTTAATGGTCATTGGCCTTGACTACATTTTCTAGATCATTTTCATTTTAGAAGAAATTATAAAAAACATTGCTATGGAATGCATGTAACTTGGCACTTAGCTGAGAAATTGCACTTCAATGGCTTTTCAACTAAGCCACTTACGTTTATTTATATAACAAAAAAACTAAGCTACTCACAGTTGGAATTTGCCTAGAAACTGAGTTGGACTTTCTCCTATTGTAATGATAGGTATGACGATGCATGGGCAATCTACGAGATAATGCAGACACATAAGATTAAACCAGATCATGTGACCTGTTCCATGCTGCTCACAGGAATGAGGAAAGAGAGAAATACTGCCAAGGAAGCGTGGGAATTCTTTGAGAAAATGAACAAGGGAGGGGCCATGTGGAGTCTTGAAGTTGTAGGTGCCTTAGTTAAATCTTTTTGTGATGAGGGGCTCAAGAGGGAAGCCCTGATTATACAATCTGAAATGGAGAAAAGGGGGATCTCATCAAATGCTATCATATATAACACTATAATGGATGCCTATGGTAAATCAAACCAAATTGAAGAAGCTGAGGGTATATTGGCTGAGATGAAAGTGAAAGGAGTAACACCCACATTGTCCACATATAACATTTTGATGAATGCATATAGCAGAAGGGCGCAGCCTGAGGCTGTTGAAGAGCTGATTGAAGAGATGGAAAATACCGGCTTGGAGCCTAATGTAAAATCCTATACATGTCTCATTAGTGCCTATGGCAGGCAAAAGAAAATGAGTCACCGGGCTGCAGATGCATTCTTGAGAATGAAAAGGGTTGGTATAAAACCGAGTTCTCATTCATACACTGCTCTTATACATGCTCATTCAGCCAGTGGGTGGCACGAAAAGGCTTATGTTGCATTTCAGAATATGCGGAGGGATGGAGTAAAACCATCGATACACACTTATACTGCCTTGCTTGATGCGTCTCGACGTGCTGGTGACACACAAAGTCTAAAGGAAATCTGGAAAACGATGATCAAAGATAAAATTTCAGGGACGAGGGTAACTTTCAATACACTTCTTGATGGATTTGCTAAACATGGTCATTATGTTGAAGCAAGAGACGTTATATGTGAATTTGCAAAGATTGGTTTGCAGCCCACAGTTATGACATATAATATGCTGATGAATGCATATGCACGGGGAGGGCAAGACTCAAAGCTGCCCCAGCTTCTGCAAGAAATGGAAGCACACAATCTAAAACCCGATTCGGTTACTTATTCCACAATGATCTATGCATTTGTTCGCGTTCGAGATTTCAAAAGCGCATTTTATTATCACAAGCAGATGGTGCAGAGTGGGGAAGTGCCTGATGCTGAATCATATCAGAAGCTCAGGACAATATTGGATGCAAAGGCTGCAATCAAGAATAAAAAGGATAGGCGTGCTTTGAAGGGCATTATTAAAAGCAGCATGGGCGTACTACAGAAGCAAAAAAGGAAAAAAGACAAGTTCTGGAAAAACAGAAAAAATCGAGAAAGAAACTGAAACCGTAGAACAGGTTGATATCAACAGAATGTCTTCTGTTTGGTTTGCTTCTTTAATCTTTGTTGGAGTATTAGGGTAAATCTTCTTCAGTTGCTCTTGTTGAATATTGTTTCACATTGTATATAACATTTATCTGCTACTAATGGGGAAAGTCTCAATTTTCACAGAGAGGATGGGAGGATCCTTATCACGTGGAATGGCTAACAAGATCCGAGTAGCTGTTAGAGGTAATTGCTCGATTTTCCCCTATTAGCAAGCGTGTCATTTCTTTGACATATTGTTTCATGTGAGTTCTTTCTATGACCAACTTTCACACCATATGCATACCTAGTTTACAACAAAAACAACTTAGTATTACCTAGTTAATCTAACAAATAATTTCTAAATATATTACCATGTTTTTTTTTGTTATTTTTGACAATTTCACATTGCCAAAATTTAAATGTTGTACATTGGTCAAACATGATACGTTTTTTGGGACAGAGGTAGCATTCCAATTTAGAAGTATGTACACTAACCTCATCAACCCATTGTGAGTTCTCATAGCTTGTTTCATTAAATGCATTAATTTTTATGATAACTCATCTCTCACATGGTTGTATAAAATGTTGTTACCTCACTGAAGGACATAGTATGGCCAAGTATCATATATTCATATACCATATGGTTCCCAATTCTTCATAGTTCATGCATGTCCTTGATTTTGAACCTTTGTTTTTATCAATTCCACTTTAAACATTTGATTCAAATGGAATCGGATTATTTGATGATCATGTTCGAGGATTGAGGGGAGCGTAAAGATTGCGGTACGTCATTACTCTCAGCGACCCAATATAAACTTCATGGGTGTTGCATTCAGTTATGTTCGATACAGAATGATGTGGTGGGTCATGTTACACTCATAATACACTATGGACGAGGTGGACACCATTTCTGCGTGGATTGTATGCGACGGTGTCAACCTTGTTGTCAATTCTTGAGTTAAAAATACGGAGTATCATTTTCCATGACCCGATATGCCACGATTGAGATATGTTAAAGTCACAAACTAAAGTAACAAAATGCACAAACTTGTCATTTATAAATTTAAATGTCTTCTTTTGTTTAATTATTTGCGATCATTTTATTCTTTTATTGAATTCAGAAATGGCAAGTTTGCATATTATGTGACTTTTTTTGCCTGTGAGTTGTGACTTTAGCTTTTTTTTAATATATACTTTAGCATTTCTCTTTATCGGTCCAAAAGGTGGAATCGCTCACCCAAGATGCCCCCACCCCCTGGCCCGATAGGGATGATGGATAAGGTAAATCATGGTGACTCAGCCGGCCAAGAACGCTAGACCCATGCCCACCCGCACAAGGAGCCTCTTCACCCTTTATGAGATTTTTGGATAGCTTCCACACTGCCGCTTGCGGGACTAGATCCTTGGTTATCGATTCAAAATTTCACGTTCTCGACCAACTGAGCTGCCCGGGATGATTGCTGATTGGGCTATTCAGAGAAGGCTTGGATTATATTGGGCTTGCCATATAGAGTAAATTTTTTAGTGTTTGGGTAATTCAACAAATACAAGGGCCCAAAGGGACAACCCATTTGTTAAGTTGACTGATTATATATAAACAAAGCTTTAAACACCTATAATACCCCTGCTTTCCAACCATTTCCTTTTTACTTCATGAGCCTCCAAATAAAATTTTAATTTTCTTTTTTTAAGTGTCAAGATAAATCTTTCATTTCTTTTCTTATTTTTTCATAAAAGAAGATGAATAAGTAGCTAACAATATTTCTCCCCTCTAAACAAGTTTTACTCGATCACTTTTCATTTTTTCAACATTTTTTTAGAACTTTATAAAGTTAATCTAGATTTTTTATTTAAGGATGAAGGGATTTTTTTTGTTTGTTAAATTCAATAAATGATCCCCTTATATTTAAAAATTATTTCTCGTGGTTTACTACTTTATAGTGCAAATTTATTGGAGATCCATACCAATTGTAAATATTTTTGGGCTTTAACCCTTTATGTCATTAAATAGGTGCTATCTTTAAAAATCTGTAGCATTCATACTTTTAGTAAGTTTTTCGTGTATCATTTTTAAGAATTTTGATGAATTACTCTATATGGCATTAAAAAAAATCATATCTAAAAATCTAAAAATAAAAGTTAAAATTCTAAAAATCATATCAATAGATATACTCTCACCGTCCATTAATTTCTTTCTCACTTTCTTTTTGGTTTGTCCAAATATTTCTTTCCCGTTCCATATTTTAGAAACACACTTTTAATGAATTACCCACTATATATTTCCTTTTTTTTCTACACTATTCACTTTATTCCATCACATCAAGGACAACACCTGAAAAGTCTATACATTTTTTAACTTTTTTAATCTTCGTGCCAAGTTAAATCGGGAAAGAAATTTTTAGAAGGGAGTACATAACAAGAACTGACAAAACTATATTATTTTATCGTTTGAGTCACAAAAATTAGAAAAGAAAGTGATTAAAGTTTGATCATCTGAAGCAACTTAAATTTGAACGGAGAAGGTACAAATTGCAATGTTTCACATATACCAAAGTAGATGGACTGCTAAAAGTTGTGCTCAATTTGGCAATGAATACTAAACCCATTCAACATGATTTGGAAACAACCTGGACCCAAAAGTATCAAACTCTAGCTAATCAACCCATTTGAAAACTCATTGGGACACAAGAAACATATGGTGTTGGGGCCTGTTTGGTGTCTTTGACACCTACGATTATTTCGACGCAAGTTGAGAAACTAATTAGTATATTAAATAAAGAGTAAATTTTATAAATGAGCTTTCATAACAAGAGGTGTTTCATATATCGTAGACTTTATATATGTTCTTATTTAGAGAATACTATATTCGTGGTTTTCATTATATATCTTTTAGCTAGGAAGTATATGTGTAAAATAATATGAAGGTCAAAAAAATAAATTATGAGAGACCCCAAAATTTTTAAATGCAGAGAATCACAAATATGAAATTAAAATTTAAGATAAATTTAAAGAATCTCATACTCTTTAATATATAACCTTACTCTAAAAACTTTAATGAATAATGCTAGGATAACACCACATGGTGCTACGTACTATGAGTGCACTCATGATTTGCTTAGACAAACACAAACATGGGTGGCCCGGAGGATGTGCAAAGTGGCCAACCGCACAGAGCCCCTTAAAATTTAGGGCACCATATTTTTAAATTTGTTAATAATTTTAAAGAAAAAGTATCCTAAATATATAAAATAGGGCACAAAATGTAAATTTGGACCGGGCCAAATTTATTTTTTCATTTTTCAGGGTCGGCCCTGAACACAAACAATCATTGTTCGTGTTGCACAGACGATTGACGTCTACGTTTGTCTATGGGAAGCATAAATACATTCATGGTAACGTTCACGTGGTGGCACTTTAGCATGACCCAACTTTTATTCAAGCTTATTTTCTTAGTGTCACGGTGGCGCCCGCGAACGGACACGCACACAATAACTACAGTGGACGCGCATTATAGTACAGTGGAAAATACCCGTTTATACAGAAAGGGTGGGCCCCACTCACTGCGTCCGTTCACGTGGCTGGCTGTGTATTGCCGTTAAATGCTGCACCATCGTCCCGTTTCCCGGCCCTCCCTGCCCTGTTTGGCATAGGATTCTCTTTAGGACAGTGGGCCCCCCACCCAGGGCTCTTTGGTCCCTACACATACAACATGAATCAATATTGGACCATGCTACATTTACACCAACAAATATACCCCATTTGTACACCACATGTTTGCACAAACATTTCGATGGTTTACACCGACACAAGTGTTGGTGCGTTAATAAAAATTTACACGGACACAAATGTTGGTGCGTTTAACAAAAATTAGTTTTACACCAACACAAAATGTTGATGCAAAACTGCGGGGTACAAATTGGGGTACAAATCTTGGAGTACACATAGCATAATCCATCAATATTACTTCATCACTTCATGTTCTACTCTTTTAAAAAATGAAAATTACCAAAAATAGTCACAATTTTGCTCGATTTTTCAAAAATAATCACACTTTTCACTATGATGCATAATAATCCAAACTTTATTGAAATTTACGAGTTTTGGGTCACCGTTAAGTTTTTAACGACGGGTCAACGGAAATGTCTGTTTTGCGCAACAAAATGAAATTTGGGAAAAGGAGAGAGAATTAGGGAGAAATTATGGGATATTATTGCTTCCCTTCCTACGGTGCATCATGCCTCGTAGTTATAACAACATACTCCCCAAACCCTACGACTACTCTAATCTGTCGGTTCAAGAAAAGCGTCAAGGGAAAGAATCGAAAAGAAAACCCTTGAAAGAGCTTATAAACCGTTCTACTAATAAAATCTACGTTACATAAATAAAAAATAGCAATAAAATACTCCCTCCGTGCCATAAAACCTTTCTCCTTTCTTTTTTTATCCGTCCCATAAAACACTTCTCATTTCTATTAAAAAGTCACTTTTATCCCTTACTTTTTCATACCCTACCTATCACATACATCATACCTTTTTACTAATAATGTACCCATCAAATCTAACTTTTACCCATCACATCAAAGGACATTTTTAGAAATTCAATACCAAAATGCACTCCTTTAAATCTCTTCAAAAAGCAAAACATCTCATGTTTCATGGGACGGAGGGAGTACTAAACATAGTCGTCGTAACATCGGGGCGCCCGTATATGCCTTCGAAGTCGTCCCGACCTATCATGGTTACCCTCCACTGTGTCTTCCGTACTCGTATCAAATTACTTTCTACCTCCATTTATTTCTCTTTTTTAAAGATTATTCTTACCTTAGAAAAAATAAAAAAATATATATAAAAAACATTGAAAATGAGAAAAATAACTAAAACCATACAAAATTAATGAAATAAATAATGTAATCAATAGAAATAAACTAAAACCCGTAAGAAATAAAATAAATATATACGGAGTGGTGGATTTTAACGTTTTACACACTATACGAAGTCTTAATGTACAACTTATTTTTAAAAAAAACAAGCCGTAAAGTTGGAATTATTCTAGATAATTTTTTCTAAAAAAATAAGAAGTGATACATTAATACTTTGTATAGTGCGTAAAATATTAAAAACCACCACTCCGTATATTGTTATTTTATTTATTACCAATTTCAATTAAGTTTCTATTGATTACCGTATTTATTTTATTATTTTTGTATCATTTTAGTTGCATTTCTCATTTTTTTTAAATATATTTTTTTTATTTTTTTAAAGTAAGACTAATCTTTAAAAAGGGAAAAAAGAAATGATGGAGGTAGAAACTAATTTTAAAATTTTAATGAAAAACTCCAAAAAAAATAAAAATGGTCTTTTACTAATTTGTAAATAAAATAATGAGTAAATTTCCAAAATGGTCTTTTATAATAAGATGTTTTCCCAATTCAGTCCTCAATAAGTTTTAATTACTTACATGATCCTTTATAATTTAGATTTATTTCCAATATAGTCCTTTGTGTAAAATGTTGCTCAAATGATGATTAATTAGGAGATATTTTGGTATTTTGATCATCCAAACTTAAAGTATATTCTCGAAATGCACATTTTTGTACAACTAAATGTAAAATTTAAAAATAAATTGACTACAAATAATTCATGAATTATTTAAACATAGAAAAAATCTTTTAAATTTCAAATCAAATACACATATTTAATTAGAAAAACAATTTTGGGAAAGCACTTCATTATAAATAATCATTTTAAGAATTAATTCTAAATTTAGCGGTTAAAAAAATACTTAAATACCCCCAATTAATCTTCATATGAGTAACATTATTTACAAAGGACCATCTTGGAAATAAATCTCAATTATATAAAATCACGTATATATTAAAATTTATTGATGACTGATTTAGAAAAACTTTTTATTATAAAGGATCAATTTAGAAATTTGCTCTAAAATAATTTAAAAAGACGGGATATTTTACCTCCTAGCTCCCAATTTGAAAGACAAAAGTAGCAATTCGTTACACGTGTTGCGTGGCCCAACATAAATACCATTCCATTCTTTGATAGCTGTGCATGGACCGCACATTTATGCATGGCAGGTTATTAGTACACCCTTGAAAACTAATCGAATTTTAAGAATAAAAATTTAATTTTATGAATTACTAATCGAATTTTAAGTAAATTTGAATTTCTTCTTGGATTTTATTTGAATTCAAATATAAGAAATCCCCTGGATAGGAATAAAAAATACGAAAATGCCAAAATATGAATCCTACGTCTTTTAAAACTAAAATAGGATCAGAGTACGATGACAGTATGATAAAAAAGTGATGACAATGTAATATATCTGTGTGATCAGTCAATCGTCAATTATCTGCTGCGATAGGTGGCAGTGTGTCAGTGATCGTGTTGCAGTTACAATGTGATAATATGATGACTTCTATTTTGGTATTTAGAAAGTTCACCCTTAAAATATCATTGTACTCTCTTTATATCCTATTATCTCCGTTTTGAAAAATCTTTTCTGTTTTAATTTTTTGAGTGATGCTTACATAGTTCCTAGATCCACATTAAAAAATTTGGGCATTCTCATATTTTTCATGAGCTTGCCTGTGAATATTTTTCTCTCTTGAAAAAGGCTCATTTACTTTATGCTACAAATGTACTAAGGTCCATAAAATGAACATAGACCTTAAGTCTACAAAAGAATTTGTGTAATTATTTTTGTTAAACAGTGACACTCTTTGAGCATAAATTGAACATTATTTAAATAATACAAATGTTGTAAAGTGTTGATATATAAAAATTAGATACTAAGATCTTATATTAAAATTACATTAAAATAAAATATGTTTTTTCATAATTTTTCGTAAAATATGTCACTATTTGACCAAAAAATCAAAACCGGAAGCTAAAGTTTTCCGGAACTAAGGTGGTATTAATTTATTTGTATACCTTTATGATATACTCCCTCTGTCCTAAAAACTCCTCTGTCTTTTTTCTTTTTCCCACAAAATCCTTATTATTTCTATTAAAAAATCATTTTACTACGAAAAAGTCTTACCATACCTGTCACATCCTACTTTTTTACTACGTAATAATTTACCATCACGTCCAACTTTTAATCATTGCATCAAGAATATTTTTAAAAATTAACATAAAAATATTCTACTTAATTTTTCCAAAAAACAAAATGGAAAGAACCTTAAAGGATGGAGGAAGCATTAAAAACGGTATAAATATGAACATATTTTATGTATACACATATTCATTTTTAATGTATTATAAAAAGAATGGAAAAAGAATACTTTTCCGGCGGTGAGTTGAAAAAAAAAAAAGCAGAAGTCCTTTTAGGATTGAAATTTTTCTTTTCATGTTGACTCGCCAGAAAAAACTAAAATTTATTTTGGCTTTCTTGAATTGTTCGACCCTGTTTTTTATTTTAATATAAATCCTATTTTTTGTTTTGTTACTAATATTTAAATCAGATAAACAAAAAATCGTAAAAATGCATTGTTTTACATAATGTGACAAACATTTTAGCATAAATTGACACTTAAAAACACATATACTATAAAAAAATATACTCCCTCCGTTCCACAAAACTCTTCCCTTTTTGTTTTTTTGAATTCCTTAAAACACTTCCACTTTATATTAAAAAACCACATTTACCCTTAATTTTTCATATTCTACATATCACATCATACTTTTTCACTGATAACCAAATTATCACATCTTACTTTTACTCATCACATCAGGAGCAAAATTGGAAAGTCAACTAAAATTACACTTTTCTTATTTTTGCGTAAAGTCAAAAGTGGAAGGATTTAAAGGAACGGAAGGAGTACATATTTATATTTTTCTAGAGAAGTTATGATAATATGTGTGTTTGTCTTTGATCTCAAAAAGTAGTGTCAAAGATAAGGTTTCCCTTACATTGCCCATGAAATTTGAAAATTACTCTTCGGTACTCTCAACTTTTTGTTAATAACACACATGTCTCACATTATTTAAAAGATACTTCGAGATACTCTCGATTTTTTTGTAAGAGCTCTCAAGTCTCATATTATCCAGAATATATTCTGACGTCCTTAATGTTTGTGATTTTATACTCCGATGGTATACTCCGTTTATTTAGGCGTTAGGGTTGAAATGTTATGATTGACACATTAGAGAGTTTTATTTAAATTTAATATAATAATGATTATTGATTAAGGTAAAAGTTTATTATTTGTTAAAGTGCCAAACCTTTAAGCTTAAAAATAAAAAAGATAGAATGTGGGACTTGGAAATTTAAATAAAAAAAAATTAATAATTACTTTTAAGATATTTCAGATAATGTGTGACCTGTACCGAAACATTAGAGTATTTAGAAATGATTTTTCCTCCTCCATTAAAATGTTCATCTATCTATCATTGTTAGGGAACTGTTCCCGAGAAAACAAAACAAAAACCGAATCAGAGCAGAGCAGAGGAGAGGTAGCAGCAGGCCACGTGCGGCTCAGGCACGTGCAGTGCACCCTCCAGTGAATGAAAAGACCTGACTCGCACCTCTCATGTGCAATACATATAGTGATTGATTGGACTGCACCCCCCACCCCCACCCACCCCCACCCCCACTCCTCTTTAGTTAACCATGGTTTTGAGTGTTGACACTCCCATTACTCTCTTCTGCAACAAAAGACAAAAT